GATGCAAAATTGCATAGCTTATTTTAAAGTTCTTCGAAAGTTTCACCCATGAAAAGAATGGGCGATTTCTTTTCGACACCATGGGACAAAATAGAGTCACCAAAGGTTTTAATTACGTCAGAAAAGGCTGAAATTATAGTGCTGTCTTAAAAAGGGGAGTAACCACCATGCAGTCACCCAGCCATCTCCCAAACTGAATTACTTGAAGTCCAGTGTGGCTAGTAAAGGGTCCCAGTAAAGAAGTGTAGAATTAACCCTCAGTCTCTCAGGTAGCAAGGTAGCAGTCTCCCTGGGCAAGCCGCAGAGGGGGAAGCCAGGTCCGGCAACCTGGATGACTTCCTGGGTGATTTTGAGACCTATGCCATTCCCTCTGCTTCCAGAAGATCTTTCTAGCTCCTTTTAACTATTCTTATGGCCTATTGACACTTAGTAGTTATGACTTATACTCTCCCTTCCCCAAGAAATCTTCACGAATAGAACTTACTTATTCCTGCCCTCTCCAATTCATTCACGGAACCTATTCTTTTATAAGGTATAAAATATATTTCTTTAACTAACTAGATACTGAATATTTGACATTGACAAGTGGTCAAGGTAGAAGAAAATTTAAAAGATTTGAGGGACAAAAATGGCCAGGACATCAGAAATCACTGGATATGTTTGGAATGAAACACTTGAAAAAATAAGGGAGAAAAACGGTCATCTATGCTTTAGGAAGATTTCCTAAAAGTCCCACCAGATACATACAGGTAGGTAGCAAACACTGATAGAGATGTTTCTTTCATGGAGACTTGCTTGATCTATATCCTCAATGTTTTGTGATATAGAAACTGAGCTCATATTCTTTTTTATTCACTGTTTTCTCTGGCAAAAATGGTCTTAAAATATAGTAGGTTTCTAACTTATTTAAGTAACCCAGGAAAGTCATTCTGAAACTGAATCAGGAATATAGTGTTCTTTAATGTTAAAAAAAACCTTATTAATATAGAGCAAAGCCCATCACCTAGGGGTTCACTTAATGCCATCCCTGTCACCCCAAGTCTCCACAACTCTTGCTTTCTACTCACAAAGAAAAACCTGCGTCGTTTCTTGCACCCAAGTCCCCTTCGTACCAGAACAGGCTAGAATGAAACATTCTCCAAAGTAGAAACCCAGATCATTAAAAAAAAAAAAAATACACCAACCAATGACTTGTAAACACCTAGAAATATTTGAACTACGAATTCAGATAGGGGGAGGTGCACTCTAGCCCAGAATAAATGAGTCTCAAGTCACCAAGTTCAACAGGTTCCCTTTGTAGCCTCCCCCTTGCCCCCCACACACTCCAGCTGCCAAATTGCATTAAGCTAGGTGCGTTTCCATCCGTTCTCCTAGAGGGTCCAGCTGCTAGTTTAAACAACTTCCAGCCCGACTGAGTTTCTCTAATAGCATGGGTTATACACAGCGACTAAGGAGACTTGAGTGATGGTCAAACTAAGAGGAAAACTCTCTTTGGGAAGAGCTAGCTCAGGAGTGACTTTGCCGAGGGGGAAGGGCTTCAAGTTCGCGTGGGCAGTGTTGTGAGAGAGGAAGCTGCTCACAGCAGTTCAGAGAGAGGAAATTGAATTGCTAACCAGTGAAAGACTTAACCAATTATATGTGAGTCTCAATGGAAAGAAAAACAAGGTGTTTTGCTGCTAACTTGCCGCTAAACTGAGAAACTCAGTGACATTTTTTATTGTAATGCAGTGTCAGAAAAAAGTTTCCCCCTGAAATGTATGGTGTAGTTCCTGTGATTATGCAGAGCAGTGTGGAATCCCGTTTGACAAGGAGAAACCAGGGTTCTTCCCGTTTCACTTACTTATCACTCTAACTCGAAAAGTTTGCACTAAGTTGGTTTGGAACGGATTTTATTCAATCTTTAATAGATGCTTGATTTTGACAGTCTCACTCGCCCTAAACATAGTGTTTTTTAAACCCCAGTATCGACTCATGATAGCGGATGATCCAAACTGTGTTCTGATGGGATGGGAGAGATTACACTCAAAGGCAAATAAATAAGTCAAGATTTGCAATACAGCAAGGTGTTATATTTGGAATCGGTAAAAGGTCCTCTTAGGAGTGGTGGTTGGGGTTGCCAGGGAGACTACGCAATGAACCAGGAGTGGCCTTCCATTATTGCACTTTGCTCAACGCGACAACTAAGGGGGAAAAAAAAGCCAAACAAGGAGAAAACACAGCTAGGACTGAGGTTTGCAGAGGAGAAAACGAGCCAGAGGCGTTGGTGTTGTCAAATAAGTTGCTGTCAGGCTCTTAAGCCGCCCAGCCGCGAGCCTGCCGCAGAGAGGCTTCGCTTGGCAGCTCGGAGGGGTGATTAAGCAGCGCCTAGGCGCCCCAGAATTAGTCAGACAGCTTTAGCCACCAGCAGGGTGGTGGGACCAGGGACTGTCGGGTCTGGATGTACATTTTTTGGGACACAGATATGTGGCGACTGAGATTATAGGCCTATGAACAAAGTGGTCCCAGCAGAAACCCTTTAAAGCGAAGTTGATACAGATCTTGCCACCTAAAGGATGGTGGTGAAAAGTTGGTTCAAGAAAATTTGGGTTGGAGGAGGGAAGACCCTTACCATAGCAGTGACTACGGGGTGGAGCTACGTTCAGTGTAGACTAGATGCAAATTCGGGAGACTCGCAGGCAAATGGAGCATCAACTCCGGGAGCTCTGATTAACACCAAGCAGGGCGCGGGCACGACTCTCCACCCACAAACCAGTCTTTAAGCTCACTGTTGTTTTGGGCTCAGAAGCCGAGGTTTCAGAAGGGAATATCCTATGGCGGGGGAGTGGCTGGAGTGAGGAATTTCGCCAGGCTGAAACTTTGGGGTTCTGGCCAAAGGGGAGAGGGAAGGGGGGCGCGGGGCGCTGTCCATGGTGCTGGGGAGAGCAGGGAGGCTTCACGTTGCCTGGTGTTCCGGTCTCCAGACCAAGGCAAGGTGTAAAGTGAAAAGGGACAGCAGCTCACAGGAATGTGGAAAACACGAGTGTGGCAGTACAGTTAAAAACAATCTAGGCAGGTCCTACTTTAATTTCTGGGTCATTACAGTGTAGACAGCACTGTTAACTGGTCGTTGTTGTAAGGTGTTTTCCTCCTTAAAGTGTATCAGATTTCAAAGTATGTAATCAGTCACTGCTGATGTGCAAAATAAAGAGGAAAGAAAAAAGAGAAAGTATGCCTTGAGACTCTAAATATATCCAAGGATAGGAGAGTTAGCTATTTCCAGAGTGCTAGGGAAAGATGAAACTGAGGGTGGCTTAAACCTGCTAGATCACATTTTATTGAGAAAGATATATTTTTTCACCTAAATACTTCTTTGAATTTTGCATTGGTGAACTACTGTAGTTATATTTTCATCAACAAGAATAAAAGGAAAGACATGTTGTAGTGTATGGCTAAGAATTCATTCTGTGTTGTAAAGCAATACTTTTGATTGCATTACTAAAAAGCAAACAATCTTGATTTTTTAAAAAAGGCTGGTAATCAGAAAGAAAGCAGGATTCAGATAGAAATAATTTCAATATTAAGGTAAAGGACTGTAAATAGAAATGTAACCTATCCAGTAATAAGCCATATTGTTGAAAAGCACTCTACACACGATATAACAGATAGATCATTCACTATGTTTAGTAAAGCCAGAATTGTAACAGGAAAAGAATTGACATTAATTGTTTTAATCATTAAAATCTATGTATCCTCAGCAACTTGAATCACGTGGCAATGAAGAAGGAAGAGGACATGAATTCAAAGAGCTGACACAGTGATCAGCAGCAACTGACAGCATCTCATTTGATATTTGATATCAAGCACTAGATCAATATTTGTGAGATCAATGCAGTTTTAATGGTTTTCTTTCAAAACTGCATGAAAGCCAAATCATGTCACTCTGAACTACTGTTATTTTTGGAGCTGGTTATTCCAGGGGATGATATTAAGTAACTTACTGAAGCAAAGCAAAAGCAAAAGAGGTGGGGGTCCAGGGGTGTGGAAAACACCACACCACCACAAAACACCACGATATTTCTTCAGTTGACAATCCAGGGGAGGTGCACATTTATTTGAAAGAACACTTATTTAAGTATGATTTTTAAAAGATGGAAAGCTTTTGAAAGATTACTGGGAGGTATGTGAGGAGAAGGGGGTCAAGGGCAACCTTTCAGATAGTGTAAGAATTAGGTGGTATTTGAACAAACATCAATGTACACGATAGAAGAGGGAGATTCTGGTCTTCCCCTCATGTAGAAGTGAGTGGGAAATAACAGACTTTTCTCCATTCTTGGAAGATAGACCTGAGAGCCCCATCTGATGCTTAAGCAATGTTCTCACAAAAGTAACATAGAAAAAAGGTAGCTATAAATATTGTCTATTATTTTTCTTAGAAGTGTTTCTCCCTTAAAAATGAAATGCCTTTTATCTGACCCAGAAGAATAGTTTTCTATCCTCTAGTTCTATTTGGATAAAATTCTAAACTTGGATTTATTGGTTTTTACAGAATTCCTTTTGAGGAGTTTCCACCTGGAGGAATCCCAGGCCTTCAGTCAGGACAGAAACTCCTGGGGTGGGCGTCAGAAGGTATGAGCATCATCTCAGGAGGACCCTACAAACCCCACAAAGGTGGCAGCCACACTGGGAGAGTGTTCTTGACAAGCAGAGGTTTGGTTTCTCAGGTGATGAGAACCAGAAAATAGCTTTCAATCATAATTCAACTTTAAAACTTGAGGGAAGGAGTTTGCCTTTCATTGAAATAATAGCAATATTTTAGGAAATTTCTGACACCCAACTCTACAGACCTCTCAATCTTCAGATGGAACAAGATACTTGGGACCATGCCACTCTTAGCTCCCCCAGTGCCTCCCTTTTCTTCACTCTAGCATGTTGTCTGCAGAAACTTTGAATGAAGTTCACATTCCAGTGCTTTTACAAAAGTTCTCTTCCCACCTTGAGCTCCTTAAGAAACTAGGTAGAGGCAGATTTTCCAGGATTTTAATAATGCCATAAAACAACAACAACAAGAAGCCATGGTCTGCTCTTTTGTATTCAAAATTGGCAGAGTGCCTACAAACTATAGACATTAGTAGTTTAAATCAATTTTCTTTAATGAAATAAAGCCAGCCTTACACATACACACATACATATTGCATACCAGCAGAAATTTACAGATGCAAAACAAGTTTGAAGCACTTAAAAATATATATTGCAATGCCTTGAAGATTTTGAGCATGAAAAGTCTATTTCATAAAAAAAAAATTACCAACTTTCATGGAGACCAGCATATACAGAGCACCTACTATGTTACAGGCACTGAATAGACATACACATATTGTATATGTTGTCTGTAGATTTCAGTTGAAGTGAACAGGAATGGACATAAGTACTCCATACAAAGCTATGTATATGTGAGACATATATATGCATATATGCACATAACTTTTTTTCTATTTGGTCTTAAAAAAAACCCTGAGGTATTTTAAGAAAGGAAATGAACTTCATATTCAATGGTAATTAATTTGGACTTCATTTTGGCAAATCATAATTTGACCAATACTTTTTCCTCATAGTATGAAGAATTTTAATTTTAGTGCAGCAAAAATGCTGTTCTTCTTAAACCACTTTGAAGCAATGTTTGTGAGTCCACAATCACATCTACATGTTAATCTCTGATTGTGCCTTCAAACAGAATTCTGTTACAAAGAACTTGGAAAGATTTTGAATCTATTCAGGAGAGGAAAACTCTTTAATTTTCTGAGGAGTAAAAACTCCCCAAGAAACTTCATATAGCTTCTTAGATTTTGCTTCGCATACGTGATAAAACATTGATTGTTGCAGTCTGGTGACCCATGAAATTTGGGGGTTAGTTTTCTCTTCAGACCAGAGCATATAATTATGCAAATAAAGAGCTGTCACTGATCTAGTGAAATACTCACAAACACATGCACTCTGAAATTGGACAGAAAAGTGAAAATGGTTTGTGATGTGACGGTGCCGTGGTTTGCTTTCCTGCCAACTTTCCATCTGAGTTCATTATTCAAATTGTAAACTTTAAGGGAGACATATCGTTCTTGGGGTGTTGGGTGTTTTTCACTTCAGATTCTTTGTTTTGGTCACAGAGTAAGTTCAATATCATTTTACCTATGACAATTTTGCATGTCACCCAATGTAACAGCTATGGAAGGAAAAGCTGAATGATCTGGACAGACAGGTGCATGACCTTCATACATTTCTTCCTAGAAACATGTTTCATAGCTATTTTAAAAAAGTTCAATTCCAATAATACAAAGAGTATAGTGAAAGGTTTTCCACAAACTTCAAGGCAAGGGTCCAAGAAAAGTTGCCTGAAACGATATCATGGATTAAGTCAAATGTTCATCGTCTAAGTTTTACATCCACAGGGGAATACTGGCCACTCTGCGATGTCCAGTTATCGACCAGACCTTCAGGACAGCTTTCTCTAAATAGCAAATCTTAAGCTTTTGCGCTTCATTTTCCATTATTATTCCTATAAAACCTTTACACCGAGAATTAACAAGAATTCTTCATTCTACCAGTCACATTAGCCTTGAGATCTCCCAGTCCCAAAGTTACCATCACACAGGCTGTGGCATAGTTTTAGATGTCATGGAGGGTCCCACTGATGAAATCTGATAAGTCTCATGTCAACCCACTGACTGCTAAAGACATCACTTCATGAAAGCAGTGGTGTGAAACTTTAAAAACATTGATCCAAAGGAATCAATTAAATCAACATCCATCCCTTCTAAGGGTGAGGTTTAAAAATTATCTTTGCCGTTTAAAAATGCAGATTTCAAGATAAATGCTGGGATGCTTCGATAACTGTTTCTATTCGTGGACCTCTCTTAACGCATTTTGTGTTACCCCTTCCAGCATCTTCCAGGAGGTGTACGTTTTTCGAGTACAGTGCACAGCAGTTACAATGGTTTAAATCTAAAACCACCTCACAAAGCCAATGCTAAAGCTACCCCTAAAGGTGGGGTAGCTTTAAGCTCTGTGAAGTGTTGATTAAAATCCCTTTCCCAGATTCAAACTGATCATTTTTTGAGATTAACAGAATATTAGATAAAGAGATGAACAATTCAAGAGACGACTACTCAGACATTCTATACAGGGAAGGAAGGAAAGTATAACATTTTTTGAAAGGGGTATGTTAAAGTCTTTTATATTATGCCAGAGGGTATATAAGTATCACAATTATACCCCCTTTGCCACCCATATTTCAAGTATATGAATGCCTCATGTTTATTTTTTAGCCTCTCCCCACAAGACATGAGAAAAGTTTCCAAAAAATTTAGACTGTGAAATTTTATGCTGTGAAAGTTACTTAATAGTAATTTTTCTTAAGTGAATTTGGAGTACTACTTTCAACAGGAGCCTATCAGTTAAGTCTAAACAATGATTATACCATACATGTTTGGACTGGAACTCTGCAATACAGAGAAACATGAAAAAAATCTAGTTGTAAATTAGCAGTGCTAATTTAGTTAACACACTCTGTCACCCAAAACCCCTCACAGGAGTGAAAGGTTTCAGAAGGAATAGCTGTAACAGAAATGTGCACAACTCAGTTATGGACTGAGCACACTTTATCAAGGTCTGACCATCAGCAGTTTGGGAGCAACTGAATGTTACCAGGCTCCCTTTGAAAAACATATTTACTGTATATCAGTGGCTATTTTATAAATCATTCTGAAGACAAGTTGTTCTAATTTCCTTATATATTAAAAACATTTGGCTAAAAATGTTATCTTTACGACATATGTGAGCCAAGTAGAGACCCAGCTAAGTTAGGATATTGTTCACAGTGATAGCAATAGTAAGAACAATAGCTATGAACTTATAATATTGATGGATATGGTCCAATCACTTCCTTTAGGTCTGAGCTTTGAAAGCCCCTGTGCAGGTGATGAAAAAAGAACTTCTGAGGAGGAATAACACACAGTTGCTTGTGGGAAAAACCTTTTTTATTTTAAAATGTTAACAGAAAAGAGATTATAGGAAACTCCTGTGCTTTATTTATTTATTTTTGACATATAAACAAAAATGCATTCCAGGAAGCACAAGGTAGAAATTTGAGAAAAGAACATTATTACAAGTAGATGGTCTTTCAAATATCCAGTGTGACTTTCAAGGACTGCATGTTAGGTCCCTTTAGAAAGCTCCAAAGCAGCTGCCGGGCACTGAGGCTTCAGCAGGAGTATTCTGAATCTCCAATTTATGTCTTTCTCAATCTATTTACTCTAAGAACTAAGTATATGGTTAAAGAAAAAAAAAGCCCACAGCCTACCTTTATACCACCCTGTGCCTAGAATCTTTTTAAGGAGATAACAGGGAGAAGACCAGAGAAGAAATATTAACACTGGCCACCCCTCTGCAGGTGGGGTACTGTCAACTGCTTGTTGTTAGCCCAAGAAAACCGAGGTGAATAGTATCATTACACATATACCGACAGCATCCCAATCAACAGGTTAAGAAATCCTACGTTCTAAGGAGTCACTTCTCTCTGGAGTGCTTTGTCTGGCTCCCATGGACTGCTACAATGCAGAGCCACAATTAGTAACAGACATTTACAAACTGTAACTCTGTAAATAGCTCTCTACCAGACAGATAACAAGGTTACAATTCAGTGATTATAAAATCGTCATCATAAGGAATCAATGACACTCTCTATACAAGTGAGGGATCTGGAGGCAAGGACCGGGAGTCCTTTGGTTCATAAGCTGAGCACATTTACTTTGCTTTAATTCAGCTGCAGAACCTTCGCAAATTTATCCCTGCATAAGTGTTGGCTTTTGTCTTAATGTCACAAAATTAGTTTCTTGTGAATATTTTCATATACTAAAACACCAGACAATTTATAACATTTGGTAAGATACATTCAATCCACACCAGTTTTCCAAACCCAGCCATTGGGAAGCTATCATTTTTTTTTTTTTTTTTATACAGCGCTCACCAATCCTTCTAAAATTAGAAACGTAAAGGGCCACTATGACAGAGCAATGTGCTTGACATTGTTGGAGTAACACATTTTAAACTGCCCAGGAGCTGGGGGTAAAATGCCATTTTGATTTTCCTCTTAAGTTGTTTCTGCTTAAGTAATATCAGAAGATGACCAGACATGACCACTGCCACTTTACTTCACCGGCACTGAAAACACAGAACTATTGAATGCACGTAGATGCCAAGGAACATGAGATACTACCAGTTTTAAAACTTGCTGAAATCAGTTCATATTAAAAAAATTCTCCATAAGCTTGTTGAGTCCAGGTTATTCTTCTGAGGCATTAGACAGTGCCTCGGTTTAATTTTGGATATACTTTTCCATGTTCTCAAATAAGGCAGGCACATTATTTGTTGAATTTACTTAAGAAAGGATTGGAAGTATTAAATTCACAATCTCACCCACTGGATATAATCTTCACTAATTAAATTCTTCAAGTAATTAATGTTTAATGTTTTAATTTAAAAGCCAGTAAAATGTCAACCTATTTTATCTTCTGTATTTCACAGTGCTGGCCAGATCCCAGTTGGGTTAAAGGACCTAACTGTTGGAATTATATGGCAAAACCCTATCAGAAGAAGTGGAACACTAAAAATTTTGGACCTAAAAGAGAGTATCATTCTCTTTTCCTATTGTAGATAAAAACTGAAACATTTTAACTTTACTTAGCCTTTCAGAAGGACAAGGGTATGCAGTTCCATTTTCTTGATGACAGTAAAAAATAAATGGTGTAACCGCAAGGGTTTACTACAAGAAAGGTCCAAGCACACTCAGTACGGATTAATAACTACCACCACTGCTCCACATGGAGTACAGAGAGCAAGCCTTGAGTGTATCATCTAAATGCCTCTCATCATGTTACATATTTAACAGTAGGGTCAGTTTTCATAAGTTAGAAATCTCACTGAAAATGGGGCCTTATACCTGCATCTAAAATACCTGCTTACGTTTTCATTCGAACGTTCTCTCCTCAAGTCAGAGACATAAAGACTCGTTCTACTAAGCAGGAATGTCCAGAGAAAAGGATTGGGATTCAGTACTTTATGAATTTTTATTCAAAGTTTTTCTTTCAGTCTTGAAATGGAAATCGGTCATTACAGGAGAGAACAATTTGTACTCCCCCCAAATCATCATGGCATTCATGTTCTCAATTTAAAGTTAGCATTTCTAGGACCCGGGTGTGTGGCTTTCTATAAAAGAGAGGGGCTCATAAGATGACCCGAGGGAAAAACCTGGTTAAAATGAAAGTTTGAAGTCTAGAATAACACTTGCTGGGTTTAAGGGGGAGTAAAAACGGGCTCGGTTGAGGCTGGGCACTAGCGGCCGCCCTGCAGCAGCGGGCGGTAGGACCGCGCAGACGCCGCTGGGGCTGCAGCGCCCGCGGCTCGGCGGGGCGGTTCGAAGCCGGGGCTCCGGGGCTCGGGGCTCGGGGCTCCGGGGCTCCGGGCCGCGCTCGGCCGCCTGCCGACCCCTGCGCCGAGCCGGGGCTCAGCCCGCAGGAGACGCGGCTGCGAGTCCATATTGCTTTGACAGTTGCACTCATCTAGAAATAATGCAAAACGCTATTTAGACGAACGTATCGCGACCCTGTGCTGGAGGAAGAAAGCAATCTAATGGGGGCCGGGAGGCTGCGGGCGCTCGGGCGGCGGCGGCGGCGGCGGCGGCGGCGGCGGGCTCACAGCTCCTCGTGCTTGATCCGGTGCGAGCGCCGCGTCAGGGCCGGCTTCTGCGAGCTGCTCTTGGCCTCCGACGCCTCCGCGAAGAACTTGAAGATGGACGGGAAGCTCTTCCAGGAAGTGAGCTCGTGGCGGTCGGTGCCTGCGGAGACACGCACGGGGTTACAAGGTGTGGCGGGTGTGTGGCCACCCGCGGGCGGCGGGGAGCCCCGCCCTCCCGGGAGTGCGCGGCCACCGGCGAGCTCGCCCGCACAGCTCCCCGGTTCCGCCGGTCCCCCGCCCCGGGCCAGGACTCGCCCGCCCGCGGGGCCCCTAGGAGCCGCCGGGAGCCGCCGGGAGCGCCCGGGGCCTCCCGCCCTCCGGGCCAATCCAGTAGCTCAGCGGGAAGGGCCACTCCCTCTCCCGCCTCGAAACCACCCACTTCCCCAGGCCTGGGATTGGTTTCCCCAGCGTGCGGGATCCCGAGTCTACCACACCCACCCCACAGCGCCTCGGTGCCTGGGCTCCCAGGCGGAGAGCCCGGAATAATTCCTTTTCTGGCCTCTCCCAGTCTCTGATGTTGGACACGACTGCTCCAGCGAGGTCACGGGGACCAAATCACTGGAGATATTTAATGAAAGGCCAGATTCAAAAGGAGACTAGGAGCCTTGAAAGTATTCCAGGCGGGCCACATGCTTTACAGATTTCAGGAGGATGGATCTAGAAAAGCCAGACAAAAGTGTTTCAAAGAGGAACCACTGAAAGCATTTAGGCCCCCTGTTCAGTCGGGGTATTCAGAGAAGCGGTAGATTTTCAATTTACCAGGTTATTTTACCACAGCTTCTGACTGTGGCGTGGGTTGACTATTATACACTCATTTTCAAATCAAATGGAACCCTTAGCTTGACAGAGGCGATAAGTAACATGCAGGCATGGGAATACACGAATAACCCGGGCTTAAAAAAAACTATTTGTGATAGCATGTATAATTTAACCAATAACTTCATAATCGATCTTTAATTAAAAATAATTACAAATACCCACCCCCCCATAGAAATTATGAGTGGTTAGCTTTGAAACAGTTAGAATCTTTTCCTCAATCACTTAATTATGCAGATAGTGCTTGGAAGTCTCCGAATTCAGGGCCTCTGATACTTTAACATTGTTAATGATAATTCTTTAGTCTGTAATAGTAGGTCATTGCTATGGTTACTCTACAATGGTGCAAGACTTTGCCTTCCCCCTTCAGCTATTCGCTGAGACCTGGTAACCACATTTGTTGCCTAGCAACAGCTTTGTGACAGTATCACAATCTGGGAGTTATAACAATAAAGATGCTGTGGCTGCACTCAGTTGGCCAGAGAGCAGAAAGCTACAGTGTGTGCATGTGACTTAGCTGTGGGAGCTGTTCCTACCGAAGAACTCATCTCTTCACAGGTGCCCTTCACAAGGATGGCTTCACCCCCCTCCTCTCTGGCCTTGTGAACCTGTGCTTGGAACTCAGAGCCAATATTGAAGTCATACTCTGGAGACAGATCCTCCAACACCACTGTGTTCAGACTGAAACATGAGATCATTTCTCTATTTGCTTACGCATTTCTGGCAAAATTCAATTTATTCAGTGGAAGGGATTGATGAGTATAGGTTTTACTGGTAAATCCTGAAGGGCCTGAATGAATTCTGATAATTGTTAATAGAATTCTTAGGGGAAAAAGTCTGACTAATCAGTATGTGTGTAAAATTACCAGGTTTTTAAAACGCATGGAACATGCTGATATCATTTTTTTTTTTTACTAAGTCAAATTATGTCCATCAAGGACATATCTAGATACCTTCAAACACATCTGTTTCAAATAAATGCCATGAGTATTTCCAGAAGGAGGCTCTGCCTCTGGGTAGGTTTATGAAAAGTTTGTCTTTTTCTGTAGACAATCCACTTTCAGTTCAGTAGTAACTATTAAATTGCAGGCATGATGACAGAGTATTTAATCTGTATTTCTTCCTTTTGAATGTCCATCCTCAGATGCATGGCAGCAACTATTTCCAAGCACAGTAAGCCTTTCCTCAGGTGTTAACTGTTTCTTTCCTTCTCACTCCCTAGCCTTCTACTGCCACTGGGCATTCCTCCTTAGTGATCAGCTACACTGACCAGTGTTGCCCAGGTGAGGATCCATTTGTAACTTTCCCAGGGAGCTCCTCTTAAAATTCTTCCTTCTCCTTGAAAACCAAGCCAATCTATGACTCTGGAGGGACTTGGGAGTCAATGGTCTCAAGCAATTTGTTAAGTAACTTTAACCCACCCTTTTCCCTAGTGACAATCTTTCTGAAGGATGAACAGATGTCCTTGAGGATAAACTCACTAAAGGATCTTTTTGGTTTCAGCTCATGACACCTCTTGGCTAGCATAGTCCTGGCCTGCGAAGACCAGTGTAGGAAGGAGAGCTGAGTGCCTGTGTTACTCCAGCGTTTACCCTTGCAAGTAGACGGAGGAATGACTAGATGTCTGCTGCATCAGGAGGGTGGGTTACTAGGAAGTCAAGTAGGCTGACAACCCAGTCACTCCTTTAGGTAACTGAGTTAGGGCACAGAAGGTGGAATTCTTTCTGAAGAACAGGCACATGCGTATTTTACATTTTTATAAAAATCTCCTTTTTGAGCTGGTGAGACGGGGGCTTTCCACTGAGCCCAGCGACCTGGGTTCAACTCCCTGGACCCACGTGGTAGAGAGAGGGAAACGACCCAGGATGTTGTCTTCTGACCTCTATGTGTGCCATGGCACGTGCGTGCGCGCGCGCGCACGCACACACACACACACACACACACACACACACACACACACACACACACACTGAAGTGTAATATAAAAACTATAAAAACCTCACAGACTCATCCTCAGAAGAAGAGATAAAGGCAATTAACAGCAGCTGAAAAAGGGAGGGTCTGCCTTTCCCAGGGACAAGCCCCCGGGGAGCGCTCCCCCTCACCATGAGCAACACTAAACGGAACACACACACACACACACACACACACACACACACCCAACAGAGAAGAGGTCACTAATTTGAGGAGAGGTTAACATGGATGGAGTTGGGACTAAAAGAAGGATTCGTGGAAATGCTGTGAATAAACTACTCATGTATGAAATTCTCGAAAAGCTTTTTAATTAAAAATTTCTAGAGCCAGGTGGTGGTGGTGCACACCTTTAATCCCAGCACTCAGGAGGCAGAGCCAGGCAGATCTCTGTGAGTTCAAGGCCAGCCTAGTGTACAGAGCGTGATCCAGGACAGGCACCAAAGCTACAGAGAAACCCCGTCTTAAAAATTTTTTTTTTTTAAGTTTTGGAAGTGGCTTTGTGCATGTGTTCGTGTGTGTGTGTGTGTGTGTGTGTGTGCGCACACACATGCATGTGAAGGCCGGAGAACTAACTACCTCAGGTGTTATTCCTCAGGCACTTTTTTTTTTTTTTGAGACAGGGTCTTTCATTGGCCTTGGAACTTACCAAGTAGGACAGGCTGGCGGACCTGCTTGTCTCACTCTGCCTTTCCAGTGCTGGGATTACAAGCACATACCATCACACCCGAATTCTTTTTATGTGAGTTCTGGGGGTTAAACTCATGTCCTGTGGTTGAAAGGCAAGCATTTTACTAACGCAGTCACCCCTCTGTTACTGGAAGCGAACTTTTAACATTTAAAAAGTAGCATTTGGAAGATGCATGCCAGTTTTGGTTCACATGCACGCTTTCAAGTATTTGTCTGGATATCATTTAAAACAGTTTGGTGGGGCTGGAGAGGTGGACGGTGGTGAAAATCACACGCTGCTCCTGCAGAGGATGCAGGTTCATTTTCCAGCACCCACATGGTGGGTGACCATCTGTAACTGCAGGTGTAGACTAAACAACACCCTACTCTGGCCTAGTGGGCCCTGCAGTGCACAGACATAAGTGCAGGCAAAGCAACCACACACACAAATGTAATTAAAATAAACGTTAAAACATTTTTTTTTTTTTTTTGGTTTTTCGATACAGGGTTTCTCTGTGTAGCTTTGCGCCTTTTCCTGGAACTCACTTGGTAGCCCAGGCTGGCCTCGAACTCACAGAGATCCACCTGGCTCTGCCTCCCGAGTGCTGGGATTAAAGGCATGCGCCACAACCGCCCGGCGCGTTAAAACATTTTAGGGACAAAGTTCCATTGAAAATATTGACAAATTAATATGAGAATCTGCACACAATAGTGCTCAAAGAACGGTGACTTAAAATATTTATTTTTAAATTATGACTATTGTGTGTGTGTGTGTGTGTGTGTGTGTGTGTGTGTATGCACATGTGAGTGCATGCTTTTGAAGTCCAGAGGTGTCAGGTCCCTGGAGCTAGAGTTACAGTTGTGAGCTGCCTGTTCTGGACAGCTCTATGTCAACTTGATACAAGCCAGAGTCATCTTAGAGGAGGGAACCACAATTAAGAAAATGGCTTCATAAGGTTGGGCAGCAAGCCTGTGGAGGATTTCTTAATTAGTGATTGATGTGGGAGGGCCCAGCCCATTGTGGGTTGGTGGTCCTGAGTTCTATAAGAAAGCAGACTGAGTAAACCATGGGAAGCAAGCCAGTAAGCAGCTCCCCTCCATGGCCTCTGCATCAGCTCTTGCCTCCAGGTTCCTGTCCTGCTTGAGTTCCTGTCCTGATTTCTTTCAGTGATCAGTGCTGTGGAGGCATAAGGCAAACAAACCCTTTCAGCACAGCACTGATAACCCTAGCTAAGAATCCACATGGTGTGGTGCTGGGAGATGGAAGTCAGTTCCTCTGGAAGAGCATTTGTTTGTTTTAACCATCTTTCTAGCTCCATAAACAAAGTGTCACAGAGGATGAAATGGTCATGGAGCAGGAAGACAGGGCAACATTGTTTATCTTCTGCCTTCTCTATGTCACTCTTTCCCATGGTAACCAACCCAAGTGCTCCTTACAAGTCAGTTGTGATGTTTAGTGTTAACTGTCCACTTGACAAAGTCTAGACTCACCAGAGAGCTGGCCTCTGGACGTGCTCCTTGGGGATTATCTTAATTGTATTAATCTAGGTGGGAAGATCCACCCCCCATGGGGGGCACTACTCCCTGGCTGGGGTCCTGGGTTTGAAGTGGAGAGGGAGCTGAGGAGTCTGTAGTTAGTGCTCT